GGCGGACACTATCCTCGGATATGCCCACAAGGTCCTGCGCGAGACGCGAGGTGGATTCAGACAAGGCAGCATGGTTCTGGAACGAGGATTCCAGCGTGTCGTGAAACATAAGAAGGAAGCATACAAGCGCTGGCAGAAGACCCGGAGTCCGAAGACCTGGCCACCTGCAAGAGTTGCAGGAGGCTCGCTAAGGCTGCTGTCGCCAAACTAAGAACACAGAGATGGACTCCTTGTACGAGAAGTGGGAAGCAGAAAACGCAGAGAAGTTCATCTCCGACTGGCTAAGGACCGGCATCGTGCCACTCAAGACATCAGGTGGTGAAGTGTGTAGAAGGCAGCGATGGTGTCATCTAAGGAAGCCAGCCGAAGTCAAGAGGAGGTGGGAAAGTAGTTCACAAGGCTTCTGAACGAGGAGTTCCCCCACAAAGAACGACTCACGGACAGAGGCCGCAGCTGGTCCCATCGCACTCTGGACTGAGAATGAGGTAGGTGTGCACTTGGGAGGATGAAGGTTGGAAAGGTGGTTGGCCCAGATGGGTGCCAATCGAGGCATGGAAGGCGCTCGGAGAGTATGGCATAAGGTGGCTCACCAGCTTCCTGAACAAGGTAACAGTGGAAGGAAAGATGCGGTGCATAGAGGACAAGTACCATCGTCCCCATCTTCAAACAGAAGGGCGACGCAATGGACTGCTCCAACTACCGCGGGGCCAAGTTACTGCGCATACCATGAAGTTGTACGAGCGGCTGGGCGATAAGAAGCTGCGGGAGCTGGTTCCGGTCTCCCAGGAACAGTTCGGGTTCATGCCTGAAGGATCCACAACAGATGCCATCTATCGCCAGGCAAGTGATGGAAAGGTGTAGAGAAAAGCGCCGACCCTGCTGCCTAGCCTTTCTCGACCTGGAGAAGGCCTTCGACCGTCTGCCGCGAGCAGTACTATGGAGATCGCTCAAGGAACGATACGTGCCAGAACTCCTGATCTCGCTGGTGAAGGACATGTACGAAGGAGCCAAAGCAGCCATACGCACCCCTCAAGGCCTAACAATGGAGATAAACGTTACGGTTGGGGTGCATCAAGGATCAGCTCAGAGCCCCTTCCTGTTCCTACTAACGCTCGATACTATGGTGAGGCCCTTATGGAAGGATCACTGAAGACCATCCTCTACGCAAACGACATGGCTCTGATAGTGGATAGCAGAGAGGAACTTCAAGCAAAGTGCAGAAATGGCAGAACGTAGTGGCAGAAGGTGGGCTCCAGCCGAATGTCAAGAAGACCAAGTTCCTGATCTCCGAATAGGGTGCAGAGCCGATTGTGGACGGCTATGGTGAGACCATCGAAAGAGTTGAGGACTTCCGCTACCTTGGAAGCGATCTGGCAGCCGACGGTGGCGTGGATCAGGCAGTAAAGGCTCGAGTCTACGCTGCATGGATGAAATGGAGGGAGTGCACTGAAATCGTCTGTGATTGAAGATGCTTCAGAAAGCACAAAGGGAAGGTGTACCGAACAGTGGTAAGGCCTACGATGCTATACGGCAGGGAGTGCTCTCCCCTGAACAAGAACCACGCAAGGCAGCTTCACTCCGCTGAGATGAGAATGCTAAGGTGGGCCTGCGGCTTGTACAGAGTCAGAAACGAGGATGTCAGGGCGGTCATGCAGACTGCTCCTGTCCAGCTGAAAATGCGAGAGCAGCGCCTCCGATGGTATGGGCACGTGCTGAGGAGGCCAGAGGATCGTCCGATAAAGAAAGCGATGGGCTTCGAAGTGCAAGGCACGCGACCGCGAGGAGCCCAAAAGAAAAAGTGGAGAGACGTTCAAGAAGGATCTAAGTGAAGTCATGGTCACAGCAGAGGACGCCCTGGACAGATTAAAGTGGCGACGACTGACAAAGACAGCGAACCCAGCGACTGCGCGGCACTAACGCTAGGGAGAAGAAGAAGAAGACGTTCGATTGTAACGTCTCCAGCAAAAGAAAAAGTACAGTCGATATCCGAATGTTAGGGTAGGCGTGTCACCGGAGCATATGTGCTTCTGATAGAAGTTGCATGGATAAGCTGTTGCCAGCATGCCTGATATCCAGCTACCTCCCCTTCAAAAAGCCAGAAATGCGGTGCAGAGCATACACCACAAGTGACGACGGCCTCGAAGTAAATCTGGTTAATAGTGGATCATAGTGATAGCTGATTTTTAGTGAATGATAGTTGTAATTACTGTCAACTAATCGAATACAACTGTAACAGGTAAATCATTTCATTGGCAAAAAACGTTTGCATTTTCTGGAGGCCGTCGTCACTTGTGGTGTATGGTCTACACACGACACTTTCTGGCTTTTTGAAGGGAGGTTATGTAGGTTGGAAGCAGGCTATCCATATAGGTAGCTTCTATTAAGTGCACGCCACTTCCGGTGACACGCCTACCCCAACTTTCGGATATCGAGTATAGGAGCAAAGTTACGGTAGTCACGCATTGTACGTAATCGCACCCTGAACATGGCGCTTACCGAAGCATTTGGCTTGCTCGCTCTCACTTTTTTAACTGGTTTTGCTCTCGATTGGAGTTAATTCATTGCTGTTGGCGTTCATCCTCGGTCTCGAGAAAGTGGTTCAATGGACAACCTACCGAATCTTCACCCTTATACAAGTTTGAAAAACAGTTACTAGTAGAAATCAACAGTAAACATCACCTTTTCAAAGTGTTCCGCCTACTTTGGTTCGAAGATAATATTCATTTATTAGTTAGAGTTCAATCGCAGTTATTTGACATGTAGAACCTTGTGCCTTAGTCCTATCAATAAAGCGTATGAAAGCACTGAAAAAAGAACTTGTACGGGGTCTACTCCAGTAAGGGGGCATCGCGATGCAGTTTTTCCAGAACGCTAAGGTAACTCAGAGCTACGGGGAGTGTAGCCAGCCTAGGGGGTGAGGGAAGCCACTTGACATGCGTGAAAGCTGGAATGTTCGAGTTCACCAAGAAACTGCATCATGATGCCCCCCCCCCACTGGATAGACCCTTGTACGAAAGCTTGATGTGATTTTTTTGGATTTCTAGGAACGATCCAGAGCGCGTATAACTACACATCGCTTTACTAAGAACGATAAGCGGCAAATAATCCGAACAACTCCAATTCTAATGAAGAATAAGACTTTCTTTTGTTCTTGATGAATACTCAGCTAACCTTAGAATTGTTCTGTCCCGATTGTCAACTATGTATACAACTCAGCGCTATGTCAAGTGTCGATCTTACACGATCAGGCTTTTTGGCAGGAATTATTGACGAAGAAAGCGGTTACATTAGAGCGTGTACATGTTTGCAGGATTATTTCCGTGGAGACTGTGTATTCGTACAGTAATACCGCTTATACATATGTGTTTGGTAAACATCAGATCTTCCTCGACAGTCTAGCCTTGACGAAAATGTTTGTATTGCATGCGCATTAATGTCATACAAAGAAACAGCTAGAATATGAGCATTAGGATAATAAACCACTGGTGATCTATAAAAGACGGGAACCTTTTTTTGTTGAAACCTGAGCCTTATTCAACCCCCAATCAAACCAGGAATGCTTGGCAACACAAGCAGAGTTGTGAGTTGTGATCAATATACCAGTTCAGCTCAGACGTTATCACGCGTATTCTCGATGAGCTTGTGACACTGGTCTGCAGTTTTTTCACGGCTTAGTCTCACTAGGCAAAAAGAAGATCGTTCATAAGGCCGTGTTCAGAATTCGCGATTTGCGAGACTGAGATAGTAGGCGGTTGGGTATCGGGGTATTGTAGAGTAGGATATTGTGACAAGACTAATACGTATCGACTGGAATCGCTGGACCGTAGAAGATCAGGCGTCTTGACGAGTTGATCAATACGTGTCTAATCTTTTCAGCACACCTTCCCTTCTTTCTACTTCTCTTCTACTCTCCCAAACATTCCTATCCTAATATTCCTCCCGATACAAATCTTTTTCGTCGCCGCGTACTGTTCTAATTCTCGGAGTAGCGAACAATGGACGCGGCCTTAGGCTGGTGTCAGAGTCCGCGATCCGTCGCAGGTTTCGCTGATTTTCGCGATTTGCACGATTCACGCGACTTACACAACCGGTCACGGAAATCACAAGTGCCGATTAATACTGCAAGGTGTTCTCCAATCCCACCGCCATCTCTGCTTGGTAGTGATGGCTGAAACGACTGCTCATGACTTGGTTCATACTCAGTGTTTTAAATGTTCATATGGGGCACTTGCAATTTTTGGGATCCGTCGCAAAACGCGAAAATCAGCGAAACCTGCGACGGATCGCGGACTCTGACACCAGCCTTGCTCTGCATGTGTTCTACTACTCTGGTTTTGCTCGTGAACCTAAGCAGCAGCGTCGTTGGTAGCTGACCCCATTGTACTAGTGTTCCTATCAAATGCGTAGCTGTCACTTAAAACCAACATTCAGCTCATGAGGTACCAAACGGTTTTCGTCGAAAAAGCGTGATGATATACAGTAATTTATTATTATTTATATTATTACATATTATTTATCTATCGGTATTTCGAAGTCTGATTTCGCGTGTCACCGGAAATGACGTAGCAGCCACCGCATTTGGTAGAAGTTGCGCGGATAAGCTTTTTCCAACAGCTCTGCTGATATCTGACGGAGTATTTCATCCACACAACATCTATCAAGTGCGGTGGCTGCCACATCTTTTCCAGTGACACGGGGTGTGGTTCACTAGGACAGAAAGCGGATTTTCCGCGCTATCTTTCGTTGCGGGAAGTTCATGTCCATCTCTGATCATCAGTGGACCCGAGGTTCCCGCAGCGAGAAATGTTTCGCGCTGCGAAACGCGAAAAAGTCGCTTTCTGTACTAGTGAACAGACCGGTGACGCGCACAATAAGGCCTCAAGATATCGACTGTACCTACGGTCCATATTTTTAAGTCTGAATGCCACTGTACCCGCCTTTGTGGATTGTTTTTATTTGTAGAACAGATATAAGTTTTGCTGGCTTTGTTTCAGGTGAACATGGGACCGAAGAAAGAGTTGAAGAAGTACGAGCTAAACGATAAAGTTATGTGTAAACATGGGCTGTTCTACTACGAAGCGAAAATAACTGAAATCACTGAGCAAGATGGAGAACCGCTATATGTTGTCCATTATCAGGTTTTCTATTTCTTTCTTGACTATTTTTTCTAATCAAGTCAGTAACTGTTTTCACCAATATGGCTGTATTTCTTTAATACTTTCCAGGGTTGGCACAAGAGATACGATGAGAGAATAACGCAGAGTGAGACATCGGACAAGTTTCTGCCTTTCACACCTGAAAACGTAGCCAAATGTAAAGTACGTGAGAGCTAGCAATATTCGCTTCAACGAAGTTTTATTTTGATGCATATTGTTTAGAAAGAAATTCAAGAGGCTCAGTCATCCAAAGTTAAAAGAAGAAAAACCAAGGACGGTAATGACGACGATGTGAGTTGAAAGTTTCGTGGACGACATATGTATGCTTTCTACTCAATAGCAAGACAGTCAAAGTACAGTGTAAACCGACATCGAGTTCTCATTCAGTCTGAGGGCATGTGATGCGACAGTTCCGCCGCCTACAGAAATTCTAATTTTTGCAAAGGGAAAATCACTTGTCAGGGTGTGTGAACCATTTTGTTTCCGCATTCCACCTATCCAGGACTTTCTTCCCCTGCGAATGCATTACCTCAGGCAGTATAGTCTATCGCGCCACATCCCCCCTTATTGGATGAGACTCCAACTACGAACTCTATACTAGAGGTGAAATCCGGCGGTTTATTACATTCCGTCCAATATAACCTGTGGCCCCTGCGATTCAACGAAACCACCAGATTACAGAGGAGCAATTAACGCTCCTACCTATTTTATTTTTGATTCTTTTTCAAAAGGATTCATTGTTGCATTTTTTAGTAATATACGCATACGTTGTTTTTGGGAATATGTTTTTCCAGTTGTACCTCTCCCGCATTCCACTACACTTTCAGTTATTTTCGCTTCTTAGTGGAGCAGCCCATGGTTACACATAACTATCGTTCAGCTCGTACTTCTTCAGCTCTTTCTTCGGTCCCATGTTCACCAGAAACAAAGCCAACAGAACTTATTTACTTACGTTAGATGATAGAGGTCATGTATAAATTTTGCTTCTGAAGGTGGATCCTCCAGTATGTGGCCCTATGTGATAACGCAGCGTTGCGCAAGTCCCAGATCAATCTTCCTCGCAAATTCTGGTTGGGCTGGCACTGGTTCGTTTTCTCGCAACGAAGACTTCTGCAGCGCGTTCAGTAGCAAAAACGCGCAATCGACACTATTTGCATACGCGCTCGGTAGAGATCGTTTTGGGGAAACGTTAGATCTGGGCGGTACCCGCCCGAAATGGTGCTTTCATAAGTACGTGAGGTTCTCACAAGTGAATAAGTACTCAATTACATTGTTTTTGCTTTTCCGCATTTTTTTGGGTTTCAAGTTACTCAGATGACGTAGGAGTTCAGATGTTCTCTTTAAGTATACTTTGCTTCAGGATTCGCTCGCCACTTTAAGACCGCGCCGCGAATTTAGCAACGGGTCATCTACCTGTAAGACAGGTTTTCATCTAAAAATGATTCTTATTTACGTTGCTCAGATGCACTTTTTTTGTTGTGGCATGGATTGTTCTGAATTGAGTATTTTTGAGCTATAGCTTTTAGCTACAGTGATCCTGATACCTAATTACTCAAATCTTCTACCGAATGTATAGCTCAATCTTTTTCCTCGTGTAGCGTAAAACCCGCACGATATAACGCAAGAACGCACGCATTCGTCATCCACCACCAATAGCGTTAGCTCGATCGCTTCAGTATCCACTCTTTACGAGTAAGCTTAGTCTATTTCTTACACCGTTCAAATTGTAGACTAATTTCATTGCGCTGATTTGAAATTTGATTTGCGGCTTTACGAAGTTCATTTTGATACCAAACTCGCTACAGTAATCGTCAGTAGTAGCACGTAAGAAGGCTCATTTGAAGGAAACTTTCTATTTGCTCACCATTTTCTTTGTCATTTTTGGAATGCGTTGCGGCTTGCATCTGTAACTGGACCGCTAAACCAGCGTATCATAAGTCTCATGAGTTATATTATGCAGAAGTCTGAGCTTGTTATGTGGTTTGATTTTAGCAAAAACTGCGATAAGAAAAGAGCGGAAGACAGTGAACGATTGCCCCCCGCAGCTCTACTTCTACACCAATATCCCGGCAGCTAGCATGAACAAGATCACCTGTTCGTGAACGTGATCCACAATTGCTTTCAACGAAGCTCAGACGTGAGCTGTTTTCATTCTTGCATCTTAGTGTCGTTATAAGATAACTCTTTAATTCATCACCAACGGACTCTTCGCTCCTTTTGTTTTGTTTACTTATCTCTCTATTAATTATTCTTTTAACTTTTTAATACTATTTTTTTATATTCTACTTAATTCTAGGTTTAATTACCCATTTTGCAGGCCACCACACACGCTGTGATGGCTTCCCGTTGCAAGACTTAGCCCCGACGCAGTTTAACACAGACATGCTATTGATAACACTTAAACACATTACCGATCTATTTTGATTGCTCGATTCTTTAACGTTGGCGTTTTTTATTATGATTATCACACTTCTCGAGCGTAGGCCTTTGGCTTTTCCGATGGTTAACATAATGGTTCCGTCACAAGTGAGGTCGCATTGGGTTTGACGAGCTGCATTTTGTGAGCTAGCGCTCGATCTTCACCTCATGCGACATCTGGGATGTTATACCACGAACACTTTAAGTTGACGTGTTTAAATCTTACCTATGCCGAATTAATCTTGTCATTTGGGCATACCGCACGGTACGCCAGATCGTGTTGAAAAGCAACAGCCAGTGCGTGTTTGACGAAATTCACTATTGCTCCAAAGGAGGTTAAAAGGTGCTCTCTGGCCGCTCAAACAAACCTCTTAGAAGTCAAATACGGACATATGTAGCCAAAAATTTACTGTTTAATGACAACTAAAAAAAATTTATCGGTTTAGCTGCTACAATCAACTAGTCCATAAACATTTTGCTTGCGATTTTATGTGTATAAAATCCACGTTATTGCCGTCCATGAAAGTTTGGGTTCACTTCTGGTGAGTTGTTTATGGATTCAACAACTTATCTCCTCGACCATATCGTCTTTAATCTTCTTCACATGCTTCCATAACCGGGCAGGAGATAAAACAATTACTAAATATATAATACGTTATATGGCATTAGCGTATCCATTGTGCGCTGTTTATACGATCAATTATGAAAAAGTATTATGTGAATTCAGTGCGTCACTGTCGAGTGAATCCAAAAGACAGATCGATGCATATTCTAAGTAGCAGCCCATGATGAATTTCGTATCAGCGTGAATGTGTTACGTATAAAATCAAAGTGTGCGCAACCCAAGCGTAGAACGATATCCCGGAACGCTCCCCCAAAATGCGCCAGATCCTGTTGCTTCAATACATAGTTTTGGTGGTGGCCTTTTCAAAGTTAAATGATATGCCGTCTTGTCTCTTCAAATTATCGTCGACGATAGTGACATAAGACGACCGTAACGGATGGTTCTCCCCCTCTGCCTGCCTCGCTTACTGTGGAACTATCATCATATGATGTAGGCGTTGTCGTTCAATATTCGCGAATAGTTTTAGCATATTTTTCAGCATTAAAAATCTAAAGCCGTCGCAAATAAATCAGTGGCCCTCGTATGGGGAGCGAACAAGCTTATGTCTGTGCCTCTAAACCTGTCCTCTATGCAGTTACAGGAGAGCGAATCAGACTCGACCCTCGTTACCTTCTTGAAACCACATGCCACAATATTTTTTATGCACTGCCCGCCTTCCGTGTCCGCACCTTGTACGGCGAAATAATGGCCAAACCTATTATATCTTGGCTTCATCTCATTTAAAAAAGAGAGAAGAAACTAACAAGCCTGTGCTCTCGAATCCGATTTACCCCGTCGCATACGTCGAATCTACTTGTCAGACGTCTCGCCGATACCGTTCTTTTGCGATTGATAGTCGATAACATTGCCCAATCGAAACCTGCGCAATCTAGCCAACAGGAGTGGGACATGTGGCCTCGATGAAATACTGCGGAGGGCCTGATTAGATTCCAAAAAAATTTAACCTGCTGACCGCGAGATATAAAAACGTTTCCGCTCTGGCAGTAAGATTGGGGAGGATACGAGAATGTATCCATGCAGTGTCTTGTCTACTCTCTTTTCTGATGTTTCATAAAGTGAGGAACCCCGTCGGTATCCTATTTACCGGTCATTGCACATTTGATGTCTTGAGATTCCGCTCCTATTTTTTCAGCCGAATCAAACAAACAATCAACTAAATTGCAAGCTGCCCCATGTGAAACAAACCTGACAACACTGGATATCGTGAACAAGATTGTGACATAGTAGTGCGCATTTCTTTTCATTTTAAACAAATTAACCCATCATGGCAGAAGCTAGACGGTCCATTGGAGAAACGCTGTGCACGTATCGATGGGAGCACTGTAATTTCAAGTGACCCGTCCGCAAAAACGCCGCCAAATCGCGCTAGAAAGATCCGAGTCGCGGACTCTGACACAGCCAAAGCATAGTTTGAACAACTTATCTCCTGCTGGTCGGTCTGTAAGAATTGCTCTCAAGCGCTCCCCGACAACAGCCACAAAAGAAATAAAATTTCATCCGTCCAGCCGCAGCCTCTTCGATCAACGTGCTACTCTCACTCTGAAAAGCTCCTATCATATTGTTTCATTGGCTGGAAAAGCTTCCTTTGTATTGCTTAGACGCGAGACGTATTTTTAAGAAGGGAATAAGGGTTAATCTCACCCTAAGGCGACTGTTTCTCCAAACCGCAAACGCTTGAGCCCCTTTTCCGCTGCATCCTGCCGAAATATTCAAATGGAAATAATCCCAACGCCTAAACAAAAGAGAACAGATTTTGGTTCGGTGAACACGATCTGACTCTCACACAGTTTGGACATTTCTCTTTAACGGCTAAATAATGCTCGTTCCGCACAAAAAAATAAATCCCTGAAAATGCAACTTATTATTGCCTAGCCCTAAGAAAATAGATTGGTTGGAGTATTCGGTGTTGTGCATCATCCATTCTGAATGAGTATAAATCAATCCACGAGTTTTTATCCTCCAGCTATGCGCGAAATTCTGGTTTCTCGCCAAAGAAAGCGAATGTTCTGCTGTGAGCGGACACCCGGCAGGACTTGAAGTAGGCGGTTGGAACTGCGTGATTTTTTCAAAGCGCGTCCGCCGTCTTGGGTTACTTCTAATGATTTTAGTCGACACGCTTTTCTTTCGCCTAATAATGAACACTCTTCTGTGATTAAAACTCCATAGAGTTTAGCGAGTCGCATTTTCTGAGTGGATAACGTGAGTATACACGACATTGCTCTATATCGTATCCACATCTCTTTGAAGACTTTAATTATTTCATTAGCAGTGATATTGATTCTGTAAGATAGGGGATGGATTTCAGTTATCGGGATCTTTATAGGTACCAGCTTCTTTACAAATTCGAACGTCCTCAGTACGCAGCTGAAATAGAAAAAGCCGTGGGATCAAGTGATTCTGTAAACAGGAAGAGGAAGTCACAATCATCACCTGGTTTGTTAGCGCGTATTATTTGATAGATTGGTTCCCCTAAATAGCTATATTGTTCCAGATGATGTTGGAAATGCTCTGATTCCATCAAAACTCTACGGTCTTCCCCATCTGCTTCGGCTAATTGTAAGACTGACAACTCTTCTCCGCGATGTGCCGTGGAACGACACTATTTTCCGGGTAAGATATTGCTGTGCTATGCTCGATACTTGACACTTTTATACTATTTTTCTTTTCAATTCTTGCAAACCATTGACGCATAATACTCATCGATGCTCTTGTATACTAATCAATGCATGATGAAACATTGGTGATTTCGCCGCTCTAACTGTTACAACCCTCATCGCTAACTTGAGCCATTATGAGTTTGAAATTGGGAGCGATCGTTGTTCTTTTGCTAGCGTCACATCTTGGTTATGCTCCGAAGGGATAGCCAAGCAGTTAAGGTTTTGGGGTCAGAACAGTCTCTCTGAGGCAAAAGGTTTGATTTTAGCCAGGCAAGGAGCTTCGCCTCACACAAGTTGCGAAAAATTTCCACTACTAAGTTGGATGACAGTGTCGGCGATTGTACAATCGCGAGAGAGCTGTTGGCGAACATGCAGATATAAAGACTCCCATCGCGAAGCATATTCAAAATCCGCAGTAATCTCGGTTGAAATGTTAGGAAGTCGCGAGGAAATGGCACTCTGAATGTAGTGAGTTCTATGGGAAGTATTTGAGGGCTACCAAGAGGAGAAGGACCTCGTCAAAAGAAGCAACTTTGCATTAGGAGCTGGACATAGGGTCGTCAATTGGAACGTCACAAGAGGTGAATGATTAAACGCAGCGATCATGTCATATGCCTTTAGGAAGCGCGGTGGGAATGCCAAAAAAGACCCCATACAGTCATGACAATTGGTCGAGCGCTCAAGGTTGATGTAATAGCTGTGCAAATCGATCGTGGCTGAAGTGAAACTATAAGTGGGTGGATGCCCTGGTATGGTGTGGGATCATCGTCAGGGAGGAGAAGGCATCTTCGAGATGCTCGGATGTGCTTGTCTTTCTTTGTTTTATACATGATTTGGGTTTGCTTTGATTTTGGTGGTATTCGGAAATCTCGAAATATTGTAGTGCCATTCAGAGTAATGAAAAATACCGCAATAGTTCATAGGAGAGACCCATCACCATATGGACTATGAGCGCAGGTGTGTACATTGCTGGCTGAAGTGCATCATTTCCCAATTTTTTAAGCGTGAGATACCCGAAGTCGCGGAGTCTCATTAGATTTGGCTTGAAATAGGGCGGGTACGCATAATTTTTGGTCCGCTGCTACATATCCTCTCGAAGAAGCTCGTGCTCATGCTCATACCTTAACGTGTAACCTCCTCCACGGATGTCAGTAATTTCAAATCAATTATTCATGTTTTACTCCCACGTATATTTAACCCTTTGACGACCGTGTGGCCCGCCGGTTAGCCACGCTTCGCTCGGTGGCGACACGTTTTTGGGGGTTTATTTTAGCATTTTTCATGTTTCAAGACCACATAAATACATTATCGAATTCGCGGAATAATGCGCTAAAAACTAATAGTGAAATTGTTGGAGCGTTAATGGTTATTGATGAAAAAATTTAGAAAGAATTAGATTTAGAAGAAGTGACGCATTCATAACGGCGGTCGTCAAAGGGTAATAGAAGTAGTTCAATAAGAGGCACCGCAACAGAGTAGAGATAGTCTCTGCTGATCGTCTGTATGTACAGTTCGTTTCAAAAGTGTAATGGCGCCTTGAAATACCTGTTCCCAATCAGAGTAGGTTTCATAATTCGCAGTCTACTTGATTAAATTCGGCTGTTCCCAATTAGAGTGTAGGTTTCATGATTCGTAATCTGCTTGATAAATTCAGCATGCTCTGGAACTGTAGCCCACTTCATTTCAGAAAGCCATATCAGCTACAAACATTTTTACAAAAAAATTGAAATGCACTTGTCTTGTCAAATGTATAAAGGCAGCTTTGTGAGAGAACCTCATTAGCACAGTTTGTCTCTTCTATCGACTCATTTGCGATTCTATTGGCATGCTCAGTGAAGGCATACTACCTCCTTTACGTGCCTGAACGATCTGAGTTCTCTACAGAGGAAGTGCATCCAGATGGTACCACGATGCCTCGATAGCACAGCTGAGGTCTTTCACAATCGTGGTTGACGCCTCCCAACAATATTGCCTCACAATAATTCCCCACATACTCTATATCAAATTCGGATCCGGAGCTAGATGCGAGCCAATCCATACCATTAATTTTGTTGACGCTCGCCGCTGCTGCGGATCGACTGCAGTGGATGACGGCGTTGTCAAGCATGAAGATGAAACCCCTCTTACAATCCTACTTTGGATCAAAAGTAAATAATCAGCAAGAAGATGCTGAAGCTGGGGTCTGTCTCGAAGAAGCAGAGAGAGAGAGAGTTCTCCCAGATTACTGCTGCACAGTGCAGCCCCCAATCCGCCACCAAAGCTTCCCCGATTGAAGACCGGTGGAACTTTGTGGGATACGTTCATCAGTTGTGGTATCTGTCCGGCACGTCTCGATTGAACTTATTATTCTATGGGTAGAACATCTACCGAATCCCAGTTCTTTCTGGTGTTCCTATGAGCTAACAGCTAACTCTGAGTAAGTTGGTTTATTTTGGTGCACAGTAATTCGTGAAGCTTTCCTCATGGATTCTTGCACAATACTTGTCGTTGTAGACGCCGTCATCCAAGTAGTACCTCTTGATGCAGGAAGTGAAAGCACATGACGGATTTGGCTGACTGTCGCGGTAGAAATGGGAAGCCGTTGTTGAATATGATGTAGCTCGTATTCGAATGATGTTTGTGGCTTTTCGAAGGTTCTGTTATTTACAATACGAGAAAAGCTGTCCAAAAAATTATTAGTGAAGCTAGGAGATCGCCCACGTTGAACAGCTATGAAGCATTTGGCTTTCCTGAGTAGAGAGTTTGGATCGTTCGGATCTATGAAAAGATGATGTGCTTGCACGACGTATGATCATCGTCGCAAGTAAGCTGGAAGGATGGATAATTTTCACTCTTTTCGTTATACTGCTCTTGCCCAGGGCATCTTTATGCTTTTGTAACTGCAAGGATGCCCAAGTTTCTATAAAACTGTTTCGAGGTCAAACTATTTTCTGAGGTATATGTGCTGTAGTTTTAGTGGCGGCTAAATTCAATAAAGTACGTAGCAAATGACAAAGCCTCAGCCCTAACCCGTAGCAGCAACTTTCAGGGGTGCTTTTATACTTTTCAAACGTACTATGCCCTCAAAGAAAAATCATTTGACCGGTTTTGCAGGATATCATAAAGTGTACGCAACATCTCATCGGATTCTTGGAAAGAAACTACCAGAAGTACTACAGCATTGAAAATGACTACGAGAATACCACACCGGAATATCAGAAAACAGCATGGGCATCAACATCGTGAGCGGTTATTGTATTGTTAAAGCGTTCAGTGTTAAGATTGTTGTATTTTTCTAGTGTATTTTGTTGTTATATTACTAGTTGTTCAACATTCTTTGACAAAGCTTATTGGTCTCATTTTTACGATATTAGGTTCACTAGTAGTCTAAAAACTGTCATAATGCACTTTATGGAATCGTATCGTTTGCTTTTAACTGACGAAGATGTGGCCTGTTTTTATTTTTGTTTTTTCTTTACATTCTGTGCATATTTCGAAATTCTCTGTGTGGTTATGCTAGTTATGCTTTTACTCATTTGTATTCACTATGAACTCGGTTAATCTATTTTTATTACTTTTATCAGACGTTGTTAACCTTCATCTTCTGTATCATTCTTTTTTGTTCACATTTTCGTCATAGTCGTGTATAGGGCCTTTGTGCATTTGATGCTATTGATACCTCCTTACAAGGTATTCACAATATTGTAGTTATAAATGTCCAAGAAGTGGTTCATTACCGTATTGTTGTACTTGCAATTGCAATAAGGTTTTTCTGAAAACGTGTTCTCCATACAACAGTCTCCCTTGCATAAAATCTCGGTACAACTTTTATCCGCTGGCGATCAGAGGTCTTCTGCACCTTTGAGCAAGCGCATAAACGCGTGGAGAATCATGAGGATTCCTCGAGGAGGTGTCGTGGTCTCGTATGACTTTGGGGGAGGGCGGGGGGGGGGAGGTGATATGGTTGAAGGTGGAGGCAGTGGCGATGCTGAAATATAACAACGATGAAAAATGAAATCTGCCGTTGCAGCATTCAATATTCGAAGGTACGCGCCGGGATCGGATTTGTTTATTATTTTGTTCGAAAATTAGACAAGGATTGCGTTGAGGAACGTGAATGGGGAGAAAGTATAAAAAAAACACCATAAGAAACACTGAGATTTCTTTTTTGAGGCCTTACGCGGTATGACGTAGAGATACACCACTGCGAGGAGACCGGAAACGCGAGAGATTATCTCACGCACGGGAGGGCAAAATGTCACCAGGAACGTCGCGATTGATAAGGATGACAGCACGGCCGCGCAAAGGCAAGGGCTTACCGACTCAACCCCAGTAGCCGCGACACTGCCACGACTTCTGAGTGCTGCTGGGGTTAAGGACTTGTCTTTCAGGGACAACCTTCTGGCCCTGATCCCAACCTTTGGCTTTAAAATACCCCTCTGTTCTGTTCGACGGGAATTTCAAGGTTGGGATTGTAGGCTGAACCAGGTTTAGTGACACTGTTGACGCAAGAGTTGTTTTGGCAGAAATCTCGACGTGATAATTTACTAGGGTAATTATCTAGACGTGATAATTACCCTAGTACGAGCCAGAAAGTGAATGTTGCGGTAGTGGCGTCGCAAATGGTGAGATGCTCGCATGGCGCACTTGAAGGCAGCGATTACGATAATTCAAGAGGGACCTAGAGGAGAAGTAGTTGTGCTCAGTGATACGTCGATGGCGAAAAAAAAACGGAGAAACCCGTCAAAAAATGCAAAATAGGACCCCATTTTTTGGCCTTTGATTTTCACTCATGAACAGGTGACAGCTTAGAAAGCGGGTGTATGAATGAGTTCAGTGTAACGCTTTCGGTCATGCCAAACCACGCTCCTGTCGAGTTGCCCCAGTTGTGTGTGTCGTTGCTGGCAGCGCAGCTCGTCCAAATCACCAACCAAACTAGTGGGCGGATCGCTTATGGATGGGGGCGGAATGCTTTCTCGAGTCCTGCTCAGCAACCAGCGCACCTACTGTCGTAAAAGCGCCACTTCCTCGGCAGCCAAGTAACTGATCCGTGTGGTGCATATGCTTCCCCGATGCGCCCCTTTTTATCGTGATCGCTGCCTTTAATCTGACGCGAAAACTCAACACTAAAAGAACGAGACCAGATTTAGTTTCTGCGTCACCGTAGTCACCATGGCCCCACTACGTTACTTAATCAAGGCTTGCCCATAGTTACCCGTAGAATGAGTTTGTGAGGAGTTCCTAACAAGTTTGGGCGTTATTCGCGAAACCACTGCACATGGAGCCTGGAGAACTCTTGACAGACATTTGCAGTAGACAGATATGATATTCGTGTTTCGGATATGAAAATACCTCTGGCGGCAAATGGGTAGCCAAATCACCCGTCAGAGAATCGATCCTGTGACCTCTCGCCCGTGAGTTGGACCAGTACCGCTGCTCTACTTTGCTTCATAATTATGTTTAGAAAATCGATTGGCATATTTGGGAAGCAGATTTGAGATCAGCGTCCAAAACCACAACCATCAGTGTAGGTCTCGTTGCATATAGCCACTTCGACAGACCATCTTTTCTGATTTGAGATGCTCACCGCATGAGCCTAATAAAAGTTCCGAGGTCACTCGAACTCCACATCTTCTTGTAGTCTACTGCGAGAGCAAATCTTCTGGTCCTTCGTGTTGTGACAAAAGCTTGAGGCCACATATACGATTAAGTTCCATTTCTGGTTCGCAACGTGAAGGCACATTGGTGGTGGTGTCCGTTCGTACAAGAGGTTCCGCTGGGAACTGCTCACTCTTGTGGGCTGAGCTGATCATGGACATTGAAATGCAAACGACAAGCCCCTTGACAGTCCAGCCACGTCACAAACAATGTTAGAAAAGCGGACCCTCCCAACAAGCGGGACAAACGTTGAAGAATAAAAAGAAGACCCTTGACGGCACATACCGTGAATGTGCAGATATGGATCGTTAGGTCCAGCTGAAATTATTTTGGGTGCTAGATGCACCAGGAATGGAATAAGCAAAAACCGGCAGGACCTGTGAAATCACATTGTGCGCTGGTGGCATGGACGGAGTTTGCGCTCCCCTTCCCCACTCATCCCCCTTTTCCACCCTACAGGATCAACTGATAGTCACAGCGACCAAAATTAATTAGATGAATATTTTTTACTACTATTTTTCAGAGTGATTTCTCGCTAGTTTAGGTTATCTGCCAGCAGTTCCCTCCCATCTCCACCACGCCGGCCACGAATTGCTGCGCGTGATCGTTAACTTAAGACACTGTGAAATCACATTGAAAGGCAAATACAACTCCCTGGTTCGAGTTGTCCGTGCGAACGGCTGACCCTGTTTATCTTTCAATGGAAGGGAACGTATACTACAAGTGAGCGCTATAACATGCAATTCCACACGATGCAGCACGTTTTACGAGGAAGCAGGCGGTATCTGTCATCTACGTTTCGTCGTTAAATCCACTCTAACGGTGTTTGTTAATCAACCACTAGTAATCCGTTGCGAGAACGCTCAATCTGTTAATACTCGTTAGTTGATAAGGGTGTTTTGTAGATTGATATCATTATGTTTGTTTCCAAGATACTTTGGGTTTCCATTTTGACTCGTTATTATTCTGATGGTAGGTCTCGAACAATTTGAGAATCGATGAGAGTTTTTCGCTCAAACTATCCGTAATTATTCCGGTAAAACCCTCTCTTTTTTCCACATACAGGGTCCTCAACTGTGTGTGCCTTTCTTTAGGTAGAAGCTACATAATAATTTGGGGAGGGGAATGCTCAGTGATGTTCAGTGGCGTTCGCTGTCCTCACTGAATGCCACAACACACTTTCTTTTTTGTGGACTCGATTTATTCCTTATCCCGTCAAATTCCACTCACACATTTGTCCCATAACTGCACTAAATTTTGGAGCTCAAATTGTAGGATGGAAATTGGAGAATCAAGGAGTACGAGGAAAGCTAAAGGAATGATTGTAGATGGAGGATCAAATTGTAAATCCTTCCAAATCCGCAGACCCTTTCAATCCTCTCTCCTCTTGTCGAATAACGTGCCAGATTCCGACGGCTTACAATTCGCCCTGCATCTCATGGTGCCGCTTAAACTCAAAAGTGCACCATAAATCTCTCAGCAAGGGTCGATACCGGGAGACACCGGCCGCTCTTTTGGATTTCAACGCTCCCCACCACAAGAATAAACCAATAAAATTATCTTGTTTGGGTCGCGCCAGCAATTCTGACGTCTTGATCTCGCAAAGACAAACCCGCCGGACTAAACTGTAGGAACGAATGGCCGTATCGCACCATGAAATGGTATAGTCTCCTATGCCTCTTGAGACTGCCTGATTCCAACTCTGCCTTCCAAATCTGCTAAAACGGCTCTACCGGAACGAGGAGTTGATGAGCGTAACAGCTCAGTGGTGACTGTCCGGTGGCAGTAAAGACTCAAAGGAAACACGGCCCCCTCCTTGCAAATTGGTTGCTTGCTTTTTCTCTAGATCACTGTGGCGAGACAAACAAAGCAACAAACTTGATGAAGAAACCATCCAGGACCGAGCTTTTACCTGCCAACCCGGACCCTCAACTGAGCATATAACCCTGCATAAACCGTCGGAGAAGTCGTTTACAGATTGAAGGCAGCTTATGGAGCAGCGTCTAAAAGAGGCATACAGGAGATATAATTTCAATTTCGCAACGCACCATAGACCTCAGAAATAGCTCCAACTTCGACCTAACATACTTACCTGTCAGAAAGTAAAGGGCATGAAGCAGCGAAGACGACTAGCATAACCCAGACCTGCTCAGAAATGTACCGAACGCTGACGTTTCTAAGACGCAGGACGAATGGGAGGGGCGGGAAGCTAGTAACATAGGACGTGACATAAACAACAACAACAAGCTCACCGTCGTATATAAGATGCACAAACACAATCAATGCTCAATCAAACGGAAGAGTCAAGCGGAGACAAAAAGTTCCGACAAGGTTGTAGTCGAGGCTGAAAAATGCGATACTCTGCACCGTCTCTCATCAATACAAAGTCTACCAACCAATCATGGAGGTATCACCTGTATCACCTGTCCGTCACCGTGATCCATACGAATGCCAGCGCAAAACGAGCCAAGCACGTCTCCCATCTACGTCCCTTGTCGCAGGCAAGATTTGTCACATTGAACCCTCCTCGCTCGAGGAAAACGATAGTACTTATACATTCCTTCGTTCAGAGCATTTCGAAAGAATCT